GTACTGTAGGGCTTCCCTGGTGGCGCAGTGGTTGAGAGTCCGCCTGCCGATGCAGGGGACACGGGTTCGTGCCCCGGTCCGGGAAGATCCCACATGCCGCGGAGCGGCTGAGCCCGTGAGCCATGGCCACTGAGCCTGCGCATCCGGAGCCTGTGCTCCGCAACGGGAGAGGCCACAACAGTGAGAGGCCCGCGTACCGCAAAAAAAAAAAAAGAATAAACGTACTGTAAAATTGTTGTATAATTTTTTCCATTCACTTTTTTAAATTGCCTGTCAGGTCACTTGATAGCTTTGCTTTATTTTGTTGTTGTTGTTTTAAATACTTCATCATTGAAGGCATTCAGAGACTTTTCCATGTTTGCCTGTGCCTTGCATATGGCAGACATTTTATAACTGTAAATAATCACTAGCCCAGGAGCCACTTTGTAATCTGGGAGTGGGTCTTTTTGTGTTTGGCACCTCATCTAATATCTGGCACACGGTAGTAGCCAATAAATGTCTGTTGAGAAACTCTGGTCCTCATGGATGAGCTCCTAATTATTTCTATCAAACTTTCATGGAAAAGGATCTGTTTGTGGGGGAAAGAAGCAAAAAATGTAGAACAGATCTGCACAAAGCAATCGTTTTTCTTTTAATTAAAAAATCCTCAAAAATGGTGATAAAGCTTTCATGGGTCATCCTTGTCATTTACAGAATAACACTAGGGAGTTTATATTACTGGGTTAGATAAAAGAGCACTTCACAAATGTAATTACGTTATACTTAAACCCACTTACACAAAGGATTTGAGGTGACCTGCAACAAAAAATAGATGAAATTAAAGTAAAATCTAAATAAAAATTAAAGAATCAAGAGCAAAGAAAATGTAAAAATGATTAAAAGTCAAGACCATGTTCCTGTTTTTATTCTGCATAATGAATAACCTCAAAATTTACTTGATTGGAATCACTATATTATTACCTTCATGGTTCTGGGAATTGCCTGGATTTCGCTGAACAACCTTCCCTGTATCCTGTTGGGTGAGGCAGTCGTGCAGGTCAGCTGAAGTTCAAGGAGAGGGAACACAGGCCCCACCACTCAATGGAAAGTGTCAGTGACACATTATAAGAAGAGCATGTGAGATGAGATATATATTGAGGCAGCTATCTTTGGAAAACAGTCTGCAGCACCATGGGAGAGAAAAGAGGACAACTTCTCAGCTGAGGTTTTTATTATTGTTTTCTGAAGTTACATGTCAGTCCACCTCCCACAAACACGTTTTCCCCAATAACTTTTATGAACTCTTTTTTTTCTCACTGGGTCAGCACAAGCCATTTTTATTCCCAAAACAATAGGCATTGAATAGTTGAATATCTCTGAACTGCTTTAGCCAGGGAGCTGTTTAACCATGTTACACTGGAAATGTTAGGGTATGCATGTTTTAGACTAAAAGGGACGGGGAAGAGGAATGCAATTTGAGCCTGAACTCTTTTTTTTTAATTAATTTACTTATTTATTTATTTATTTTTGGCTACATTGGGTCTTTGTTGCTGTGCGCGGGCTTTCTCTAGTTGCGGTGAGTAGGGGCTACTCTTCATTGTGGAGCATGGACTTCTCATTGCGGTGGCTTCTCTTGTTGCGGAGCACGGGCTCTAGGCGCCCGGGCTTCAGTAGTTGTGACATGCAGGCTCAGTAGTTGTGGCTCGCAGGCTCTAGAGTGCAGGCTCAGTAGTTGTGGCGCACGGGCTTAGTTGCTCTGCCCGTAGGATGCATGTGGGATCTTCCCGGACCAGGGCTTGAACCCGTGTCTCCTGCATTGGCAGGCGATTCTTAACCACTGTGCCATCAGGGAAGTCCCGAGCCTGAACTTTTGTCAGAAATTACTCATCTCCTCCCAAAAGGAATAGAATATGTTTTTCTTATCATCACAGAACAGCAGAGAAAACAAAAACTACAGTTGGAAGGGGATATATATATATATCCCCTTCCAACTGTAGTTGGAAAAAGTTCTGTTAACAGTTCTGTTAACAGCAAGTTGGAAAAAGTTCTGTTAACAGTTCTGTTAACAGCAAGAGATGGTAACAACCTAAACTCTAGATGGATCCACAAACTAAATGGGATAGGGGCAGTGACTGGTGGGGGAGGGGGGAACATGCATAGGGAAGAGGTGAAAAGGTGATTTCTCAGTGTATACCTTATGGCATTTTGATTTTTGAACCACTTGAATACTACTTATTCAAATGAGATAAAATTAAAAAAAATAGATTTAGAGCAAACACATAGAATGCACCCCAAGTAATAATAAGGATCCTGGCCTAAGGAAACACAAGATCAGAATGGAAGAAAAATGATGTGAGATACACAATGATGGATCAGTACTTCTACAGTGGAAGAAAGGATACAGTCAAAAGAGGGAATATTCTCTTAACTATAATTGGCTAGGGGTTTTCTCAACAATTCTGGAAACGTTCTCCCTTAGCAGGCTACTATGAGCCAGGGAAGTCCCAGCAACCAGTGTGGCGTTCATTTCCTCATGGAATTTTCAGTCCTGGGCCTGGCTTCCTCTCATGCAGACTCACCATCAGATTTTGTCAGCACGTTGAGAATGGCTCTGTCTCAGGGTCTGAGTCAAACCAAACTTGTGAGCATGATCAATTTATTTACAATAAGAACTGTTCCAGGAACTAGAATATTCCAAGTCCATCTGACCAGTCTTTCCTTTATGTATGGACCTGTTTTATTACTTCCTGTGGGAAGTAATAATCAGGTGGTTGCTCAGTAAGCATGGAATCAGAACAAGAGAAATCAAATTAACTCCTCCCAGCCAGTTATGCTCCAGTTCCCCAGTGCTCGGTCCTGGCCTTCTACACCTACACTTGCTTCCCATGGGATTCTGTCCAGGTCTGTAACGGTGCCACTACATGCTGATGATTCCAAATTTTGTATTTCCAGCCAACCTCTTCTCTCTAATCCCAACTCATTTATCCAACTGCCAACCCAGTCTCCATGTGGATGCTTACCCTTAACATGTCCAAAACAGGATCTCTATTTCCCATCCCCTAAACCTGGCCTTTCCCCTGCTGTCCCATCTTAGTTAATGGTATCACCAGTCTCCCACTCATTCAAAACAAAAACCTGAGAGACATCTTGCCTCCAGTCTTTCCTTCACATCACACAGCCAATCAGCAAATCCTGCTGGCCCCACAAATAAAGTGGATTTCAAATCCACCCATTGCTCACAGTTGCCTTTCTAGCCCAAGTCACTTCATCTCTTAACTGCAGCAGCCTCCTAATGGTCTTCTTCGCCTCTGTCTCACCTTGTACTTTATCCTAGAGTGATTTCCCCCCAACTTCTTATTTCAAATGTTTTGACTCCACAAAAAAGTTGGGGGAAAAAAAAGCACAACAAACACTCACAAATCCTTCATCTAGATTCACCAATTACCATTTTACCCTTTGTGCATGCGTGCATGTGTGTGCACGCGCGTGCGCGCGCGCACACACACACACACACACACACACACTTCACTGAACCATTTGAAAGCAAGTTGTATCGCTAAATACCTCAGTAAGTATTTACCATGAACAAGGACTTCCCCTACATGATTGAATGATTCTTTTAAAAATGCAAATCCTGTCATGTCATTCCTCTGCTCAGTCTTCCAAAGGTTTTTCCTTCACACAGAATGAAATCCAAATTTATCATAGTCTACAGGGCTGTACATGATCTGTTCCCCTGCTTATCCCTAAAATCTCATCTGATACTCTCCCTCTAGCTTTCTCCCCACCAGTTACACTATGAGTCAGGACAAGTTATGCCATACTGAGGTAACAAATAACTCCAGATCTCAAGAGCCTTGACACAGTACAAATTGATTTCTTGCTCACATTCATGCCTATTAAAGGTCAGGCTTCTGATCCCACACTGTTTTCTTCCTCACTCCCAATTCAAGGCAGGTGGAGCAGTCACTGTCTTGAGCGTTACCAATCATCACGCCAGAGAGAGAGAAAAAAGATCTAGAGGGTCTTGCACTGGCTGTGTTCAGAACTGGCTTGTGTCATTTCTGCTCATGACTCACTGTCCAGAATTCGTCACATTGTCCTACCCATCCACAGAAGAGCCAGGTAGTGCCGTTCTACCTTGTGCCTGGAATGAGAGAGAACCAGGACATTTGGCAAACAGCATGAATGAGTACCCAAACTGGCCGCCTTTCTGTCCCTTGAACGCCCAAGTTCGTTCCAGCGTCTGAGTTTTCCATT